CATGTTAGGCAACACATAGGGCCAAGTCAGGGAGGGCTCCTCACCATCGAGATATCCTGAGCTGTAAGAATCCTGAACCTCGAAAATTGCCCTGGGACACTTCCCGGTACTAAATTGAGTTCTAAGCCTGAATTCCAGCAATTAGCAACCCTCCAGACTGCTTTGAGCTTATGCGCCCGTAGAGCGCTAAAGGGTTTTGGCTTAAACTCACTTGATCTCTTCTTCCTTCTCACCAAGTTCTTGTATCCTGGAAAAAAGTCCAGATAACCATAGGAAATTTATTCAACTCCTAATCAGTAGCCTACCTGTTTCTCGCTTCACGAAGGTCATTGCGAGCTGTTTCAAGTTCTTCAACAATCTGTCCAATGTGTTGGTCTTTTTCAGTGATGACAGCCAGCTGCTCGGCTTGAATTTTTTCAATGAGCTGAGTCTTCTCCTGTTCCATTTCTGTGATCTTCTTCTCCAATTCGACGATCCTGAAAACACAAACAAGTTTTACCTGTACTAAGGTGATTCTTTGATATGGTTTTCGAATTTTGGTTTCCATAAGGCGGTATTCCCACTTTGTGCGGAAAGGGAAAACTGACAAAGGACGAAACGGACCAATTTACGAATTATTCTATATATTACTATTTCGTACTCGTAACTAGAGGAGGCGAAATACGCTCACGCTCGACTTGGTTGCCACAAATTCAAGTATAAACCTTTGGTAAAGCGACTACTGGCGTATCGCCCGCGTTAACGCAAAATTCATAAATCTAAAGACTAAATTTCGCTGAATCGTTTTAAACCTCTCGAATTGAATAATTAATGGGAAATGCCCAATCCAAAAGGATATAGTAATACAATAAAATTTACCCTTACTATCTTTTGTACATTGCATTTTTTGAATTACATAAATATTTCATAGATACTTACTTTTCGTCGTTTTGGGCTTGTGGAACGGCATGTTCTTCTGGTACAACAATTTTCGGTTCCACATCACCGAGTCGTTCACGAAGTTGTGCAATCTCATCGTCCTTCTTTCGCAACTCTTCATCTTTCTCTGCTAGTCTTAAAAATCATGAATTACTAAGTAAATATTTACTCTTTGGCGGTTACTTGAGTCAATGTTGAGATTGGTCCAACAGCAAGGGCTGAAGGAACTCACAGTAATTTTGTTTTTTCTAGACTGTCTCCTTGCTCTTTATGGTCTGCAGTCTGCCCATCCTCTGGTACAGTTGATGTCTGTTCTGGTACTTCACTAGAATACACACGATATAAAATGGTCAACAACGAGCGTGGAGGGGTTCCTTTGAAACGGCACCAAATGGGCTTCAACAAATAGAAGGAGCAATGCTCTAGTAAACGCTGGAGAATCGCCATATCATTTCGATCGATGTTAGCTGCTAAGCCATGACTTTGAAAAACTTCACTTTGAATCCTTAATTGTTCGGCGCTGACTGCATACCCATTCACCATTATTCACAATCAAGAGTGAGACACTCGGGTATGTCCCGCCTACTCAGGTCGCGCCCCGCCTACTTGGATCCCGTCCCGCCCACATACCACAAGTGAAAGGCTGCGATCAATTTGAGAAATAAGCTGACACATAGAAAAACGAGCTTAGCAAGATTATTCGCACCGGCCAAAAGACCAGTATATCTATAAAGTGGCCGAGATTCACAGGTTAATGTGAATACCTACTATATCTCTACTCCACATACGAGGAGATTTTTCACAAGCTAGCCACTGAAAAAGACCTCAGACAACTCCTGTAGGGTTTCACAACGGATTCAGTCTATTGTTTTAAATACAACAATACATTTGAAGTTTAGCGAAACACTGTTTCCTTTAACTTCCACTCGATTTCATCGATAAGTAAAAAAAAAGTCATCCCAATTTTGATCGAGTATAGTAGGCTAATGTAAGTTGTACGTTCTAAGAATAAAACAACATTACTTTTGGCGTTCCTCAGCTTTTTCCAAAGACTGCTGTAATTCGATGTTGTGTCGCATCTCATCCCGCAGCTCCGCTCTTAGTTCTTTGACTCTGGAATTTAGTGTTGTAAGTTTCTTCATGGTAAATATATCAAAAAGTAATTTTACAATCAGAATTGATGGATTCGAATTTTAAAACATTCGGAAACATTCATTACTATGAATAATTTTACGAACCTATGACCGGAACTTCCTTGAGCTTCGATAAGATGCTGTGAAAGCCTTTACCACTTCAATAACTGAGGCAATCACTACATCCCGTTTACCTCAAAAGGAATAACTCCTCTTCTAGTCCCCAAGTTGGCTTTTAGGGCTATGTCACGCAGTCACAATGAAGCAATCACTATGCAGTAACGTCCAAAATCCCCCTGACTAATTAGGAGATAGGGTAAAGGAAAAGGATAGCCCTT